AGCCATCCAGCCAGCAGGTAGTATCATTGTGATGTAAGCGACAAGGCAATCAATCCACATAAAATCTCCTTATCAATACACTCTCAATTAATTTTTGTTTAATAATCACTGTCAAGCTTATGGATAATTCCTGCAGGTAAACAAGTAAGAGTTTAACTTTGGTTTATCAAAAAATTTTTAGTTGTATTAAACCTTACTTGTATGTACATTGTATCCAAATGCCTAGAAATGCTAAGTTTTGGCATTTTGAATCATATTGCATTCAAATGTCTAGGAGACTTATCTTTTGTTTTTTAAAAACATTTTATCAAGGAGTTAATTGTACTGTACTGATTTCAAGAGCTACATTTAGGAAATACAGTTAATTTGAACTACATTCAGAACTGTAACAGATTGTGTGAATTAAGTAACTTCCAAGCTAAAACTTATGATAGCTTCCTACCACATAATGATTACAATTACAACCATCCTGGGTATGCTAAGGTAACAACACATGGCTGTTCTTTGGGCTCCAGTTGTTCCTTTTTACAAGGGTTTCTTGGGCACTATAGAATTTGGACAGTTATGGGAAATTATTCATTGTTATTTTATTTGCAGTATTAATATGCTTTAAAGGATTACCACATGATTATTACTCCTATAGGCTTTATTAAATTCTTCAAACTTCAACTATTTTCTAAGTGTGAGGTGGATTCTTTTTAGGGTAAGTTAAGTCTTTTAGACAGCTATGATGCCATCTATTTAATAAAGTGTAGCAAACGTGAACTTTTTTTTTTTTTTCCTGCTTCTGGGATTCTTGGTCAGTTGATAGGTAGGTGGGAGAGATTCCCAAGAGAAATAACTATTCCTGTTAATTTAAACAATTGGAGTTTCATGTAGTTGATGTGAATTTTAAGAGATGTCACATTCCAAGCAGTCATATCCAGGTATAAATATATAAAACTAAATAATGGTTTAAAATATGGAGATTAAAAACAATCATGGCAAGGGAAATATTAGTAGAAAGTCAAGGACTGAGGAAAAAGAAGGGAAATATTTGGTCACATTGGTTTATATAAGTGTTAGAACTGAACTTCACATTTAGTTGTAGGATTTCTTTCAGCCAGACAGGGTAAATTACAAAGAAATACATTTCAGTTTCTCAGTGGAAACAAATATTTCTGCTTTTCAAAAGTTTTAAAAATATTTTTATTGATAAATATAGTGTGTACACAAAACAACATATTCAGCTCAATGAATTATCACAAAATCACAGCTAGAACAAGAAAAAGAACAAAGCCAAAACACCAGATTACTGCCACCCTATTCCCTTCTACTCATTGTCCCTTCTCCCCTCCCCAAGGTAACCATTATCCTGACTTTCATGGTAATCGATTCCTCGATTATTCTTTATAATTTTAACACTTAAACTTACAACCCTATACAACACCTTGCCCGTTTACATGTAAATGGAATTATATAGTATTCTTGGGACATAATTGACTGGGAGTCTGGCTTCTTTTGCTCAACTTTATGAGATTTTCCACATTGTTGCAAGGAGTTGTGATTTTTCTTTTATGTTGCTATGTAGCATTTTGTTAAGCAAATATAGCTCAATATATTTAAGCCCTGTACTCTTCTTTTTTTCTTTTAACAGACTTTATTTTTTTAGAGCATATATTTTCTCCTAGGAATATTACAATTTAAGATTTTACAGTTAGGTCTATGACCATTTTGAGTTAATTTTTATACATAGTAAGATGTGTAGTTAAAGGTGTATGTGTGTATATATATATTTTGCATATGGATGCCCAATTGTTCCAACACCATTTGTTAAAAGACATCCTTTCTCCATTTAATTGCCTTTATACTATTGTCAAATATTAGTTGGCCATATATGTGTGGAACTACTTCTAGACTATTCTGTTCCACTGATCTATGTATCTCTTCTTTTGATAATACCACACTGTTTTGATTACTATGACCGTACAGTAAGATTTAAATCAGGTACCATGAATCCTCCAACTTTGTTCTTTTCAAAAAGTGTTTTAGCTATTCTAATTCCTTTCCCTTCCTACATAAGTTTTATATATCTTTTTTTTTAAGTTTTTAAGTAATCTCTACACCCAACATGGGACTCAGACTTGCAACCCTGACATCAAGAGTCCTGTGCTCCACTGACTGAGCCAGCCAGGCACTCCTCTACATAAATATTAGAATCAGCTTGTCAATGTCTGTAAAAAGTCTGCTGGAATTTGGGTTAGGACAGCATTGTATCCATAGATAATTTTAAGCCCTGTACTCTTGAAGGATGTTTGGTTTACTTCCAGGTTGGGGTGATTTTGAATTTTACTGCTAAAAATATTTTTATAAAATGTATCTTGATGCACAAGTGCATCATGCATTGCCATTGGTTATATTTCTCAGAGTGGGATTGCTAGACCAAAAACTGTTTTCCAAAATTGTTGTACCAAGTTACTCTCACCAGCAGTATGTGACAATTCCCATTGGTTGGGTCCTCAGGCTCTGAGTCCCTCACAGGCTGCAATCAAGGTAGTGGCTGAGGCTATGGTCTCATTTCTGGTTCCCTTGATACCTCTATTGTCAGTCTTAATTTTAGCCATTCTGATGGGTGTTGAGGAGTATCACATTATGGCTTTATTTTTCATTTTCCTCATTACAAATTAGGTTGAGCACCTTTATACAAGCTTATTGATCTTAGATTTTCTTTTGGAGAGCCTGCTAAAGTATCCGACCCATTTTTCTCATTGGTGGTCAATCATTTTCTTAGCAATTTATATCTGTTTTTCATATTTTTTATATATGGGCCCAAATGGCATCTGGTAAATACCTTCTTCCAATCTGTGCCTTGCCTTTCATTCCCTAATGTTGTCTTTGGATAGACCTAAGTTCTTCAGTTATCAATTTAATGTACTCAAGTATATAATGATTTTTTTCATAGTGACATTTTTTGTTCAATTTAAAAATCATTCCTGTCATTAGGACAATTTATAGACAGCTCCTAGAATGTTAATTATTTTATCTTTTACAATTAAATATATAATCAACTTGCACATCATTTGATTTGGGTTATGGTTTGAAGTAGAGGTTGTCTCTTTTTTTCCCACAATGTGACTATCAAATCGACCAAGCACTGTTCATTATCAAAAAGTCCTTTTCCCACTGCTTAGGAGTATCACCTTTGTCTTAAATCAAGTGTCCATTTATGTAAAGGTCTGTTTCTGAGCCATCTATCCTGTTTCTTTCATGTTTGTCTATCCTTTCACCATTGCCACAGTGTCTTAATTACCATGATTTTATACATGGTACATACCAACATTATTATCCTTCAAGAGACCTCCTAAAGTTTCTTGGATATTTTTGGTGCTTTACATTTCCATATACATTTAAAATAAACTTGTCATGTTACACCCCCCCCAACACACACACACACACACACACACACACACACAAACCTACACTCATACACCTACTGCAATTTTGAATGGATTTGCATTGAGTCAATTTGGGAAGAACTAAGGTAAAAATACTGAGTCTTGCAACCATGAACATGATGTAATCCTCCATTCACCGTTGACCCTTGAACAACATGGGCTTGAACTGTGCAAGCCCACTTACAGTTAGTTTTGTTTTTTTATAAAGACAGTACAGTACTATAAAGTATTTTTCCTATGATTTTCTTAATTACATTTTTTAAGAAAGATTTTATTTATTTATTTTACAGAGACACAGCGAGAGAGGGAACACAAGCAGGGGGAGTGGGAGAGGGAGAAGCAGGCTTCCCTCGGAGCAGGGAGCCCTGTGTGGGGCTCGATCCCAGGACCCTGTGATCATGACCTGAGCCGAAGGCAGACGCTTAATGACTGAGCCACCCAGGAGCCCCAGCATTTTCTTTTTTGTAGCTTACTTTATTGTAAGAATACAGCATACAATACATATAACATACAAAATATGTGTTAATTAACTTTATGTTTTTGGAAGACTTCTAGTCAACAGGAGTAGACTATTCCTAGTTAAGGTCAAGGGGAGTTAAAAGTTACAGTGAATTTTCAACTGCACAGGGGTCAGCACCCCTAACACTTGCCATGTTCAAGGGTCAATTGTATTTCGGTCTTCAATTTCTTTCAAAAGTATTTCATATTCTCTGTAGAAATGTTGCAATTTTGGTTAAATTTATTTCTAGTTACTTGATATCTTGTATGCTATTAGAAATCATATTTTATCTTTTTAAAGATTTTATTTATTTATTTGAGAGAGACAGAGATAGCGACAGAGAGAGCACTAGAGGGGAAGAGAAGGAGAAGCAGGCTCCCGCTGAGCAAGGAGCCCAATATAGGACTCGATTTGGGAACTCCTGGGTCATGACCTGAGCTGAAGTCAGTTGCCCCAGAAATCATATTTCTTTAAAAGTCAATGTTGTTTGTTCCTAATATATTCAAACATAATTGGTCTTTGAATATTTACTTCGTATCTGCAACTCCGCTAAATTAATTTATATATTTAATAACTTCTACACTTTTTGGATTATTCTATGCACACATCACCTATGAAAAAATAGCTAAAATTTTCCTTCCTAATCTATACCTTTTATTTCTTCTTTAAAATACTAAAACCCACAATTATCTAAATCTGAGTAATGTGTAACTCCAGCTGTAAATTCTGTAAAAAGATGCCAGTGGATTCAATCTTCTTTCCACCTCCCATACTCTCACTCAACTACTCTGACCAGCTCACTACTCCTCACATCACTTCCAATCCGGATGAGTCTGAGCCGAGCCTAGCGAGCTTGGAGGCGGGCTGCGGAAGCGCGCGCCACTCGCACCCTGACCGCTCCGCCCCTTGTCCAGACGCAGCCAATAAGCGGCTGCCTCGTTCGAGCGTCCTACCGGCCAAAATGGCGGCGGCGGTTGGCCCCGAGTCCCGCTTGTAGTTTCGTTGCCTTACTACTCCCGTTGCAAAATGTGAAAGGAGAAGGGGCTGGCGGAGGGGGGCTGTAGGCAATGAGTCGGCGAAGGAAACATGGGGACAGCCCTGGCCTGAAGAACACGCCGCGCAAAGCGGTGGCGGCTGAGGAATGCAGCTCGATGGTCGAGCCAGGGAAGAGGCGGCTGAGGTCGGCCCGCGGTTCAGGGCCCCGCAGGGCCGGAGAGACGTCTCCCCGGCCCGTGTCGCAACAAGAGCAGCCTCCAGCAGCCGCTTCGTGCAGTAAAAGTAACCCCGAGGGTGAGACGTCGGCAACGCGGCCTTTCCGGGCTTAAGCGCTGCAGCCCCACAGCCCCGCTTGCAATGGGCGATCCTAGGGTGCGGGTGGGGGGTGGAGTTTTAGTGTTTTCTTTCTCTGGGCTTCTTCCCTCGTGAGTCCGAAAGGAACACGACGCCACTACCCCCATGGTTTTAGTCTCCGAATTTGAGCTCTGCCACGCTCTGTTTGACCACCCACTTGTTGCCCCTGCTATTGGGATAGGCCCTGTGATTTACCTGTTTGAGGGAAGGAGGGCGGCTATTTCTAGACTGCTCCTCCAGTCTTCCGCAGTGGCAGAGCAGGGAAAACTGATAACCTGTTGCCTTCACTTTATTTCCATGGGAATTGTTCCCCGCCCCCCCCCCCAAACTTTTTGCCCTGACTTGCTTTAGTGAAGGGATCATATAAACAGCTATCGCTATCTCTATCATCCTTAAGAGTCTGGGTGATGTCTCACTCCATTATGAATAAACCGGAAGTTCCTGTGTATGATGTCCCTCAAAGTAGGAAACTAAGGACCCCTGAATATTTCATTCTGGTCAGTTTTTGGTGTTCTATTTTTTTTAAAGATTTCCAGTAAATCCTGGTAGGAACTGAAATTCACACAAAAGCTCTTTCTTAAAGTGTGCTCTTAAAATACGACTTTTGTTACCTTGTCTTTAGTTTACTCCCATAAGGCAATTCTGGAATGAACAAAAACAAATGTCTGTAAGAAATTTAAAATTGATAGTGGACAAAACTTCACAGGAAATGGGTCGCTAAAGCTTTTTGAAGTAATTAGTGTAAGTTGGATAGAGTTAATGAAAGGGAGCTAAACAGACTTTTCCTGAAGTTTCTGCTGGGAGCTTTTTGATTTTCGAAATGTATCTATAAATTACAGGCGGTTCCCAAAGCCTCCAAGTTCCAGTGGTAATGAATGGAGTGACTAGATTATACAGTAGTATACATTCATAGAGCTACTGAGTTATCTTAAAATACTTGCTATTTACAGTGTCAAATTTGTGAAGTATTACAAGGATTTTTATGTGAAACATTTCAGTTATTAAAGTAATATCATCTCTGGGAGAAAATTTTATAATTGGACTATAAAAAGTAATCTAAAGCATATGTGACATTGGGGTATTAGGAAGTAAAGTTATGCTTTACAATGCAACAATTGTTTTTTAATCTTATTTTATGTAGAAAGATATGAAACACCAAAGAGAGTGCTGAAAATGGATTTATTGTCATCTACCTTCAGTTCTCCTAATGATCCAGATGGACAAAATGATATCTTTTGGGATCAAAATTCTCCAATGACAAAACAGTTAGGTAATTTATTATTAATTAATATTTTTATCTGGGTAAATATTTGGCAAATGATTAGGATTTAACTATAGAATTTCAGTAGGGTAATAACAACTTTTATACAACAGATGTTTTTTGAGAAATCTTATGTGATTGGTATGGTACGCATGTGATGTCAGTGCATAGTGATCTAAGCCATGCTAATTAATATTGTTTTCTACAAAGTGACTCCTATTTTTAAAAATTAAGTTTTTTGTTTACCATTTATAGGAATGTCTTTGTTCTTTAGGTAAAGGAAGAAAAAAACAGATTTACACCACAGATAGTGATGAAATCTCACATATTGTTAATCGTATTGCTCCTCAGGTAAATATCGCTAGTTTTATAATTTATTTTAGAACTATGAAAACTATGCCACTAGGCCCATGTATGAAAAATGTTGTCTTTTACAATTCTCTTTTCTGAAAATAGAGCACCAAAGGTTACTTTTACCTTTTGTACTACTGAAATGTATGTTTTGAAAAAAGGAACATAATGTATAATTGGCAATATATATTTTCCTAAGCATATATCTTATATTTTAATTTTTTAGAGTAATGAATTTTGACTAGAGCTTTGTGTTTATTTTGTGTTTAATGTTGTTTAACAATATATGGCATTAGTTTTAAAGTTACTAAAATGATAGAATCAGACAATAAAAATTTAAACTTTTTAAAGTTTTTTGTGATTGGTATTTGTTTACTGTCAATAGCACAGTTTTTCCCCATTGAAACTGCTCTTCTTAATACTTGTGGACTAATACGATCATTTAGAAATACTCATCAAAGTGGAAAGAACACTGAATTTGAAGTTAGTTCTCAGTCTACCTCCTATATGGGGTGACCATAAGCAAGTCACTTAAGCTCTCAGAACTTTAGTTCATTCAGCCATAAACTAGCATTACTTGTCTTGCTATCTCCATTGGACTATTATGAGGATTAAATTAGATAAAAATTCTTTGTAAACATAAGCACTATAAATGTAAGGTTATTTTAAAGTTCATTATGATAATTAAATTATTTGCTGTCATAGAACCATCTTCAAAAGTTTCTCTATTTCAGTTCCTGTACTGCTTGAATGGAATAGAAATACAAGTTTAAGGCAGCCTGTATTCTGAACCTCTTTACTGTCCTCTCTCTTTTTATTTAACATTTAAATTCAGAAAACATCTAATTTTTGCTCAGTGTCCTTTCTGTAGGAAGTATGGGATTTTTCCTTGATATACCGTTGGATAGTGACTATATGTTCACCATAAACAATAGATGGCATTGTTCCAAACTGGTTACAAGGAATTACCATCATCCAAGTGGAGGAGACAGGAAATAAAGTTTTTCTTAGTGGCTATAAAATATCCAAAATTACAATCAGCACAGTCAAAACAACTCTGTTGCTACTAGCTTTACATTCCATGTTTGGTGTGTCATAGAAATTTATTTTACATTCGGTTCATTAGTTAAATAGCTTTTATGCCATAATACTATTTACTTCATAAGTTAACAATAGATCTTCATTAATTGTGGGTTTCACATGAAAGAAGCATAATAAAATGTGTTTGGACTGGCCAGCTTAAATAGTGATAAAAAGATAGTTGAGTAAATTACTGGACCCTTTACCTAAGTGGGCTGGAAATAATAGCTCACATAAAGAAATAGCAACAATATACAAGTGGTAACTTGTATATAAGAAAAAATACAGTGAAATTGGTTGCTTTTAAATGTTACTCTTTTCAACTAAGCACTTTTAAAGCATGTAAATCTTTGGTAGTGTAAGATTGTCATGTTCTCAGAATGACATGTTCATGCTTTTTATTTTTAGGTGAGTTACCTCCTCAAGTAGTTATTTAAGTCACCTTGATATTTTCAAAGATGGCAATTCTCCCCCCCCCCCGCGCCAAATATTCACTTCCATTTTCCCTGGACAATCGTTTCACTTTTTTGAGGGATACTTTTCATATAGTGTTATTCATTTGAGGATGTGTATTTTTTCATCATTTTTATACAACTCTACACAGAATACTCTTTAGGACTAAATGAAGTAATGTGTTCAGATTCTTTATATAACACCTGGATTGTAGTTGGAAATCAATAAATTATGCAATTATTGAAGACATTTTTAAAATTTAACACAAATAGTATAAAAACATACATAGGGCCCTTGTATATATAAAATTGGACATATAAAGTTGTCATACCTTTATTCTCTAAAAATTGAATGAATTTAAAAATACTTGATAAATGGACAAAGGGTCCATAGTTAAATCATTAAGAATATTTTCCCTAAATTCAAGGTGGTTGTTGAAACAAAAGTGAAAATATATATCGAGTCTGAACATAAAATTATTGATTACTGGAGTATTTTGTGAAGCTAAAATCTAGGTTCAACTGGACATCTAAGAAAACTGCTTGCTGAATGAGGATTTTAAAGTATCAAGTTGTAGAGATATTTTCATCTAAACCTAGTAAATATAAACTGATAGCTTCTTCATGCCTAGCATTTTTCTGGGTGCTGATCATAAGATCAGTCCATGCTTTCAAGTATCCTATAACCTAGTGATAAGATTATTTTTAGCTTGTGTGATTGTTATTTATGTTCATTCTAAGTATTATATTCTAAGTACAAAAATAGAGTGGAAAATGGTTAAACCATTTGATTTGTTCGTTTGTAACTAATGAATAAACTCATTTTCTAATTTTTTTGCATGATCAGCTGACTGAAGAGAGTAGCAAAAACATCCAGGATTAAAATGGCCCTTTCTTTTCCTTAACAGTGGTTAAACTTCTTTTTCTGCTTTCTCTACTTATTTTTGTTCTTATCCCTGCCTTAATCTTAGCATCAGTTCTAACCTTGCACTTGACTCAGTCCTGAGTTTAATTTTAAGGGTTCCCAGTTCAGGTCAACATGGATTGTCCAACTTTAGATAAAGATTATAATGGGGATAGGGAAAATTTGGAGAATCAGGTGATATAGAAAGAATTCCATATGTATCTCTCTCTATTCTTAATAAGTCAGTCAGTTTTCTCTTGGGGAAGAAAAAAACTGTGCTTTTACTGTTGAATATGCATTTGTTAATTAAATTCTTAAAACTTAATTTTTTAGAAAATAAGAAATTACCAATTCTGAATGTTTTCACTTCCTGAAACGTAAAAGGATCACTTCTTATAGCTTGTTATTGCCATCCTCCAACTTCTCATTATTCTGGAATTTGTTTAGTAACTATCACCCTACTAGAATTTTTTGCTTTAGGAAAATAATTCAGTGTAGTTAAAGTTTTTTCTTTTCTTTTTTTTGTTATGTAAATTTCTTTTTTCTCCCCTTCTGCCAAAGGATGAAAAACCAACAACAAACTCCATGCTTGGCATGTGGATTGGTGCCACTGCTATTCCTTGTACTCCTAGTGTAGCAAAAGGAAAATCAAGAGCAAAAATAAGCTGCACAAAGTAAGTTCAAACTTTACAATTTTCCTGAGATTCAGTGGAGTAAATATTTGTAATATTCTGTTTTGGTTTTGTAAATATATCAAAATGGCTATAAATTATATTTTTTAGTTTTGACATGTAAAATTTTAGACTTAATTGTGTTAAAATTTTGAGTTTTAATATATTAAAAATATGCTTAATAACAATTGAATATTTATAATAACTTAGAAGTTTTCTTAGTTATAATTTCTAAAATTTTTTCAATAGGTTAAAAACACAAAATCGAGAGGAAGAACTTATGAAATTGGCTAAGCAATTTGATAAAAATATGGAAGAGTTAGATGTGATTCAAGAGCAAAACAAAAGAAATCATGATTTTATGCAGACAACTGCAGAAGCAGAGACTTTAAGCAATTATAAAGATAATGTACAAATGCAGTTATTACATGATATAGTTCCTGAAATAGATAATTCTATAATAAAGAAGCCAATGAAAGAAAACACCAAAATGTGTGTGGTAAATGATCAAAATAGCAGTCAGAAGCCATTTGACCAAAATGCTGAAGCAGCCTTTAATGCCATTTTTGATGGCTCTACTCAGAAATGTAGCGGACAGTTCAGCCAAGATTTGCCAGATGTTTTTTTGAACACAAGTAATACCACCTTTGGAAAGAAAAGCGCTTTAAAAGAGGAGAAAATCATTATGAATGAAATTCTGGTCCCTGAAAAACTGCCAGATAAAACCCCAGGATCACTTTTTTGTCAAGTGGACACTCCTGGAATGACAAAATCATGTGTGACTTCTTATACTGAGAAGCCAGAAGCTTTTCATAAACACCTTGATGCATTTACTACCAGTGATTTTGAGGATGATTGGGAAAACTTACTAAGTAATGAACCTTTTGTTATGCAAAATGTCAAAATGTGTGAACTTTTCCCTGCTCCTAGAACAGCCCAGATTGCTGATCAAAAGGAAATTTATAATTTTAACAATAAAAATGATAAAAATAAGTCAAGAATGAATACAAGTCTAGATACCAGGGTAAGGGATTCAAAAATTTTACAGGATCTCCCTTCAAAGACATATAACAAGGAATTAATAGATTCTGGAAAATACGGGTTTTCACTAAATCCAAATGATAAACCAAGCAAATTACCATCCACTGGAAATAAAATGAAATTTGAGAAATCTTTCAGTAAAACTGTTGTTAAAGACAAAATTCAAGACTGTACAGTTGCGTCTAATCTGACAAAAGTAAAAGAAGATATGCACACTAAATTTACTTCTAATGTAAATATTTCTGAAAAGTCAACTTTGAACACAGGATATTCTAATGAACAAAAAAATAAGTTCATTTATAATCAGTCTTTTAAAGCACCTGCTAATATAGATCATTTTGGCTCTGCAACTTTGGGCAATAAAACCAGTGTTTATAATCCAAATCAGACTAATACATCAAAGTTAGGTTCTTTCTTTGATGACTGGAATGATCCATCATTTGCCAATGAAGTTGTTAAAGCATGTCATCAATTAGAGAATACCTGGGAAGCAGATGATGTAGATGATGATTTATTATACCAAGCATGTGATGATATTGAAAGACTAACTCAGCAACAAGACATTAGAAAGGACAGTAAGATATCAGAAGGTAAACTTGAGATCAATAATAGTTCCAAACATGGAGCCAAAAACATGTTTACTACATCTAAAGAAAGTCGGTTGGTGCAATCGAAGCATTTGAATCTGAGCAGCATTTCAGGGTATACATCTTTCACAAATAGCTCACAATTAAATAAACCAGTGAAGATGGAAAAAGAAATTTGTGGAAATTCTCCAAGCTTTTTAGGTGCTACGACTAATTTAACAATATACTCTAAGAACTCAAATTGTCAGATCAATAATCTACATTATTCCTGGAATAATACTGATGTTCCAATACAAGTGAATAGTACTGAATCGGTTCTTACAGGAACTTCAAGTTTGAATGTGAGTTCAGATCATAGGAATACAGAAACTGCTATTTATAAGAAGAAATTAAGTACTCAGCATCTATCCCATAGGAACATAACAGATGGAGCTAAGAGTGACCTTAACAGACCAGTTAGATTTCCTAAGTATACATTTACAAAGATGAAAAATTCTCAGATTCTTTCCCAGTTCAATCAAAATTGTATACCAGCAAGTATTTCTGATACCAAAATTACACAGGGTTTGGAGAAAAATAAAACTGTCAACCCATTTTGTGGGAAGACTGTTCAACAGCAATCTTTGGTGAAACGTTCTGAATCTATGGAACAACCTTCAAAAGGTATGTATAAAATAGTTTTCTTTGAAAATTATCACCTGGGAAAGTAGCTAAACTAGTTATTTGTTATATTGAATTTGTGTAACAATTTAAAAAATCATGATATTTAACTAGAATTCTTAAAGTGACTCTTAAAAATAATTATGCTCTAATATATAAAGGGTGGGTGATTTATGTTTTCAGAAGACTGCATTAGATTCTTAGTTTTTAATACAGTGACTAGCATATGGTAGGTACTCAATAAATATTTGTTGAATGCTTTCTGAATTGTTTCCTAGAAAATTGTACTTTAGGTAGATATATTGCTGTGAGATTGTGTTTACTAAATATCTCATTGTTTTAAAACTTGAATAATCTTATTCCTATGTTTAGCAGAACATTGAGGTGAACGATATTGAAAATTCAGAGCATTCTAATTAAACACATTTGCTACTATAATATCTGATATAAAACTCTGTTAGTTGTGATGGTTAGAACTGTAATTTACTAAGTACAACCTGTCATCTTTGATTCTTCTGATTCCTCTCCCACAATTCTATCAAGTGCCGTTGTTTCTACCTCAGAAAAAAAAATACATCTCAAAACGGTCCATTTTTCTCACTCTTAATTGCTACCACCCTTATCCAAGCCAACATTGACTAGATTGTAGTTCTTTTATCTGTCCCTTTTCAATTCTAGTCTCCAAACAGTAGGATAATCTTTTAAAAAACAAACAGGCAAACATGGCATTCCTGTGCTTAACCAAGCCTTCAATGATGGCCCATCATTTTTCAAATAAAATTCCAACTCTACGCTGATTTATACGGCCCTGGATGATCACTCCTTAGCCTGTCTGTCTGCTTTTTTATCTCACCTACTAAGCTTCAACTACACTAGCTATCTTTTCGGTTCCTCAAACAATAGTTTCTTTCCTAGTTCAGGAGATCTGACTGTGCTATTCCTAACTGAAACTACTACTTCCCAGCATTTGACACCCCCATTCCCGTCTTTTGGTTGGTGCTTTTTTATCCTTAGGTCTCATTTTAAGTATGACTTCATCATAGAGACCTTCCTTGAACAACCTATAAATAGGTCTTTTCTTTGTTATTTTCCATCATCTCTCGTATTCCTTCAGTTTCTTTTATCACAGTTTGCAAGCAAGTATTGATTATTGTCTGTCCCATCTGTGAATACCTAGGCGTACCACAGTATCTGCCACTTAGAAGATGTTTAGTTAACTATTTGAATGAGTATCATGCAATACAATGTGAAAAATCTGTTACTCACTGATATTGTAATGTTTTTTTTTAAAAGGGACTGTGTCTGGCATAACTACTTGTACATCTTAATGCCCAGTTCTTTCTCACAGCCTCATGTTTTTACAGATGCTGTTTCCTTCACCAGAAACACAGTGCCCCCACATTGCATATACCAGATCTGCCTGGCCATTTTCCATTTGTCCTTTAAAACACAATATGTTTCTGTCCACCCAGATAATTTAGCTTCACTTTCTCTGGGTTTCTCCAATACCCAGTGTTAACTTCTGTTATAGCATTTACTATGCTAGCTTGTAATTATTGATTTTCTTAATCAGTCTTCCTCACTTGGGGCTAACATTAGGATTCTTATCTATTATGTAGATTAATGCTAATAAGGTGAGGGAGTCTTTAGCTTCTTTTAGCATTAGATCATTGTTTTCTGTTTAGACTCTAGATGATGATTTTGTTGGCATTATTGCTACAACTTTCCTATTTAAGTGATCCCACCCTTTTTTTTTTTTAACTTGTAACAGTAATATGCTGGTTATTTAAAAAAAAAGAAAACAGAATATTTTGAAGTGAAAAATTCTCTATTTCTCTTTTCTCACAGCCATTCCTCAGGGAAACCACAGTTAACAGTTTGGAATACATCATGCAGTATTTTCTGTGCATATAAAAGCGTGCATGCATGTTTGTATGTATACGTGTGTATACCTACAAATTTATTTAATCAGATGGAATTATGTACTCTGTACCTACCCTTTGACAACTTGGTTTTGCCTTCATTTAATATAGCTATCTTTTCCTGTTACTCATATAGTTTTGCTTCAGGCCTTCTAATAACTACATAGTATGTTATTATATGGATGTACCATGGTTTATTTAACTGTTTCTCTATTGATGGAAAGTCCAGTTTGGTTGCATTTTTTGCATTACAAACAATCCTCCAGTGAATATACTTCTACATAAATTTCTCCATGCTCCTGTGATTGTATCTGTTAATTATTGAAAAATTGATGTAAGAGAATGTTTTGAATTTGATGGATATCACCAAATCTTCCCCAAAAGTTACATCAATTTATTCTTATCAACATTGACAATGAATATTTCCCTACATTATTATAGCCTTGATATTTTGAAACTTTAAAAACTGTGGTCAATCTGTAATAATTTAAAATATTTAAATTTATATTTAAATAAGTGTAATTAATTGGACCATACTCTCAACATGAATTTAGTTACATATAGTTATAACTATATTAAAAATGACTACATTTCTGCAATATTTGACTTTTCCCAAAACTACTATCCTGTCTGCATTTTTATTTTTTATTAGCTCTTTCAGTTTATCTTATCAGTTTTTTTAAGTTTACTGATAGTACTAATCTTCTAATTAATATTAATCTTCTTGATATTGCCTGTTGTTTCTACTTTCTTTTACTTTGTTATGTAGCAAGCTGCTCTCCAGAGAATGTCTCTGAAACAAAACCCATTTAACTGCCTCATTGTTGTAAGGCAGGGTTTGGCAAACCATGGCCTATCCAAATCCAGCCCATAGCCAGTTTTTGTACAGCCAGCATGCTAAGATGGTTTTCACATCTTAAATAGTTGAAAAAATCAGGAGAAGAGTAACATTTCATGACCTTTGAAACTTATATAGAATTCAGATTTCATTGTCCCTAAACAAAGTTTTATTTGAACATAGTCACATCATTTGTATTGTCCATGGCTGGCTGTTTTCATGCTACAGTAACAGAGTTGAACAGTTGCAACAAAAGACCATATGAACTTCAAAGGTTAATATGTTTACTTTCTGGCCCTTTACAGATCTTTTTTTTTTCTTTTTTGCTGACCTCTGCTCTAGGCTAAAGATTAAGAAGAGCCACTCTTGCTTTGTACCTTGTAATAGTTTGAGACTTTACCATGTATTTTTATTGAAGATTGAGTTAAAGGAAGAACTGATGAGAACTGATGCTCTAAATCAGAATTTCATGTGTGACTTTATTTACATCATTTGAAATTATTTTCCAAGAATGATCACCAAGCCAGTTGTAAAACCAGTTTTAGAGAGCTTTTCTGCTGCCATGGATTATTAACCTGTTTTCCTTCCAAACTTATGATCAATTCAGTTGTGTGTGTGTTCTGAGTTTTTGTTTCTCAGCTTTGAGACTAAAATATTAGTCAAGCTAATTATAAAGTATTTTGTAGCATCTTTGTGTAAGGAAAAATAGCTACAAATCTGTGAGATAATTAGTTTAGGAAATAAATAAGACATCAGAGTAATCTGGGAGTTTATCTAAAATATTTACCTCTTACCTTGAACACCGTCTTCCATTTCCAATTATACCAAGAAAGAAGGGGAGACAGATAATTTATTTTGGACAAATAATCTCCCTTAGTTAACAAGGGGAATGTCTTATAACAAAACCTGAACCTTTGTCTAGATGGTAGTATAAATAATATTTCTCTGCCAACAGTACTACAGATTCTTACTCTGTGAGAGGCAGATTTTACAACATAAACAGTTTTACCAATAGAAGGTCATGTAAATATGATTTAAGGTGATGGTCTTAATTTTAAAACATCCTTTAAATGAGAAAATACGTTTGCTAATTTTAAAGTTTGATTCTTACTAGCATTATGTAGATAATATTTTAGCTTGAAGTGGCTAAACTGTGGAATTAAATTCATTTTATTAGAACTTAGTATTTAGTTCTAATAGATATAATTGGATGTATATTAAAATCAAACTTAACTTATTTTCATTAATTTAAAACACATTGTTTATAGTATATTATCCCTGAGGTATACACTAAAATATGCTGCATAGGAATATGTCAGAATGCTTCACATTTCTGTATACTTAAAAAGACATTCAAATTGAAGATTTTATTCAGATATTCTCCTTTTTGAAATAATTTTCTAATGCTTATATAAAATGTATTCTCCAAATAAAAATATTTGACAGTGAATTATATGCTTATTGTCATGATAGATTTCACTAGATCACTAAAACATTTTTCCTCAATGGCTAAAATGAAAATCTTGGAGCTCTATAGAGGAAAAAAGTTAGTGTGAATATTAATATAGCTTATCAGTAAAAATACACTATTTGAGGTATTTGTATTTAATTCATTATATTTTGACTACTTTTCTACTAAAGTTTATATAACATTTAAAATCCCAGTTTTTAAAAAATATTCATTTGTGAATTATATAAATTAGATGTCCTTATTCCAAGAATTATGTGCTAGGAAGTTAAAATATACAGTTTAATCAAATGAACTTTATGACATTTTGAAAAGGTGTATAAAATAAGGACAGATGGATCACTGTTTGATTTTCTTTTGGCTAGAGCACTATATCTGTAAGTGGAATATCATATATAATAGTTTAGTGTGAAATAGTTATACCAATATGGCAAGTCTGGATAATAAAAAAGTAAAAACGAAAACTCATATTCAGGATGACTTTACAGTCTATAAAAGTAATATCTATATTTTGTTTAATTTTTAGAGGAAGAAGAGAAAAATAAAAAGTATTCTCCTGAAGAAATTCAAAGAAAAAGACAAGCAGCACTGGTTCGAAGAATGGCCAAAGCACAGGCATCATCTGTAAAGGCAGCTCCCACTTAACTTGATTTCTTTTATGAAATATTAGTTGGAAGACATAACAAAGACAGTTAATAGCTATCTGTGATAGGAAATATTTTTTCTTGATTTCTCTGTGAGAAATTTAATGCTGACTTATAAAGCATGGACTTCTTTTTTTTATGGACTTATATTTTATTTAATAAATCAATGTTTGCAATTCATTGAAACCTTTCCTTGGAGAGGTATGTGAAAATAATTGCATAAAAGTTTTGGAAATTCAGGAGAGTTAGCGATTATGTTGTAGAATTATACAGAGTAAAGTAATTATATTTTTAAATATTGTGGATCATCCAAAAATAGGTAATCTACTAATTTTTTTATCGTGATAACTCCCTAATACAAAGCTTCAACTCACTAAGTAAGATTTTTTTTTATAGTTTTACCTTCAGTAACTGTTTCTAAGTTTTTTATACATTTCTGAATCTTAAAAATACTTTCATATTTTTAGGAACATGGTTGGTGGGAAATGACTTCAATTTATTTGTCAGTAAATTACTATTTTTAATTCCTAATCTGAAATAGATTTTAATTTTAGTTTTCTAAAACATGTATTTTGGAAATTTTCCACTTTTTTTAGGGAAAATGCTGATTTAAGAAGTTTAGAAAAAAGAAAGTAGACTGGCTATATAAATAATATAGTAGTATTAACATTTAGAACTGTCAGAACCTTTAGATATCATCTGGTCCAACTTCTTTATTGTATAGGTGAGAAATGAATACTGTTATTCTGAAAGTCACAAGGCAGGTTAAAGCTGTGCTGCAATTAGAATGATTGCTTTCATTCTAATGAACACCTAGACAATTGTACCATTTTCTTCTGAGTATTAAGTAGTATATAAAATAACTTGTTTGTAGGAGCATTAATTATTTCATAGTATAAAACCAAAAAAAAATAGTAACTCAAAGTACATTAAGGACTGTTTAATAATAATGCTCATTGTTTCATGTATTAAAGAATTCATTCCAGAATATAAAAATGAGAATTTCTTTTTAGTTTTCCTATAACTATTTAATTTTCCCTTAATTAGTTTTCTGACTTTACTAATTTGTTCATCTCTATTACTCTGTTTTTTCTTTTTGTCTGTTTAGAATTCACTAAGCCAGAAAATCTAAGCAGAGGTCATAAGGGCAGTAAGGATGCTTTATTTGTCCTAAATGGCTTTGGGAGACTTCATGAAAGGTATAGATGCGAAACACCTATTAGTGCATTCACCACTACTCAGGTGTCTTAGAGCTATGATAATATCAAAACAATTAAATGCATTTTAAGGTGTGACTATATAGAGATATATCACTCTGACAATTATATTTTCATTTATACAGTAGAGTAACAGTGTAACACTTTCTTCTTCCTTTAGGTATTATCGGAAACAGTAGGGGTTAGTGGCCCTTCAGTGAACACACAGAGGGCTATATAGTTTCTCTAGGTTGGCTTTTTCCAATCTTTAGGAAATGTGTTTCTACACAGAGGAGGAATAATTGGCAGGCCTGACAGCTCTATTCCAGCTCAAGCTCGGCTACTGTTTATGCATCTCAGGCTGGCTGTGGAAAAACTAATGCCATGATTGCAGGAAAGTCCACTGCAGAATAGAGCCCATCTATCACTACTCTTTCTCTCTCTCTCTCTCTCTTTTTTTTTTTAAGATTTTAATTATTTGACAGAGACACAGCGAGAGAGGGAACACAAGCAGGGGGAGTGGGAGAGGGAGAAGCAGGCTTCCCGCCGAGCAGGGAGCCCGATGTGGGGCTCGAATCCCAGGACCCTGGGACCATGACCTGAGCCGAAGGCAGATGCTTAACGAATGAGCCAGGCACCCCATCACTACTCTTTCTTGCTGCAGCCAGGCAACCCTGATCCCAGGAAAACTTGGGTTGCTTATTACACAGTCAGTTGTATGTAGGCATGTACCACACCTTGGGAAATAGTGCTTATATCACTAACTTTTACATTCCTGAGAATCGAGGCACCTTACTCATCTCTGTCTACCCAATACTGATATTCAGTGGTTTCTTATTAAATATTTTATGAATTTAGATATATTCTGATGGCAGAGTTCTGCCTTCCCCTACTTAAAGCAATTTGACTTTGATTCCCTGAGCTATTCAGTATTAGAAAATGTTTCTAGGAACAATTAAAATTTAGCCTAATACTGATTAGTCTAAGTGACAATTTATCTAAAGTCTAACCATGATCTTCAGTTCTTGCTGGAATGTGATGATCAGAATCACTTGTGGGACTCAAAAACAAAACAACAAACCTGTGTTGTTGTGCCTTCTTTAGACTTTATGTGTATCTAGGGATAGATTTCAGATTGTGTTCATTGGCGAATAGCCAAGAGGGTTGAAAAGAAACGGTAATCGCTGTTCTATAAGTTGATAAATGTTTTATTTACCATGCATGATTTTAAGAAATTACCGTAACTAATTTGCTTCTCAAAACAACTATGTAAATAACACTTTTACCGCCATTTTACAAAAAAAGCTGAAGTAAGCATATTAAGTGATACTCTCAAGGTCACACAATTAGAAAGTAGTTGGAGCTCAAGTTTGAACCCAAGCAGTCTAATTTCAAATACTGTGATCTTAACTATTGAGTATACTGTCATTCTTGGAAACTATTCATAAAAATCACTTGTCTGTGGAAATTATATGTACAGGAAAGAATTGTTACAGTTCAGGCAAGTGTGCCCAAAAAACTCACTAGAATTCTGTAGCTTAACTGTATTGCTCAGGAGAATTTTTTTTACAGTCCCAGTTGCTGTTATAGATGACTCCTATACTTTATATGTACATGAGCAGGTGGGTGTGTACTGATTACATGAATCCACATAGAGATCTTTTTCATTCAACCACTAAACAAAAGAGTAGAAAAATACATAAAATGTTAGCTATTTAAAATGTCTTCATTTTACCTCACTATTTTAGTAACTTCTGGGTGTTCTGGTTTTAAAATCTATTAGGGAAACCTTAATTGCCTAGTCTAAGATGAAATGGCATACCTCAGGCTGCTAGTAAAACTCTGATCCAAGTAATAAAATCAGGGTTTCTGGTTAGAGTCACACTATATGGAAGAGTGGTATTCTGCATTTAATTTGTTACAATATGTTATTGTTAAATCCAAGCTCACACAGATTGTAGTTGGGAAAAGGAAAAGTATTTTAATAGTGTTTTCAGATAATTACAGGTATTCTTTTCTGATATTACACAAAAACTCAAGAAGTGGTAATTTCTTAAAAGATAGCTCTAACTTCTATTTCCAGCCAAGACGAAATAATGAGGACAGCATGTACACTTCTTGCTGAAAGAACCAAATAAACTGCCTGGAAAAGTGGATTTCAAGACAACCTGGGAATGAGGAAACAAACAAATGGGAGCCCTACCATTTTCCCAGCTTACTGCCTTGAGGGAGTTTCCAGACCATGATGCAAGGAAGAATTGAGGAACAGCCCAGGAGACATCATGAGTGAGAAAATGGAGCTGAGACACTAGGGAGACTAAGGTAGCTAGAGTTCACAGGACAGAGTACCTGTGAGAAGACTGAACTCCAGAGATCTGCAGATGATCCCTTTTGATAATTAAACTCAGTACTGATTAGCACATATATGTGAGGAAATGGAGGCTGGAGAAAGAGACATCCGATGGGATTAAGAGAGAGCAGAGTCCAGTGCTCAAGCATCTAGTAATAATGCCAGTTCTTACCAACCAAGGTCACTGGGTAGTTACTTGCCTGAGTAGTAGGGAATGATTTGCCCTAGGTTGCACTGCTCTGGGCCCACCCAACAAATCACAAAAGCAAGGTCAAAAAGGATCAAACCATTCCCACAGAACTGCATGCTAGAACAAAGTGTAAAAATACTTACAGAAAAACAAAAATGCCCAGTACCTATGAGATAACATTAACAATGACTGCCCTCTAATTAAAGATAACTAGGCACTCAAAGAAGCAAAAACACAACCTAAGAAGGATCAATTGAAACCTGTATCTGATATAGATGTTAAAACTAATGTGAGGATATTAAAATAGCTACAGTTATTAAATGTGTTCAAAAAAGTTAAGTAGAAACGGGATATTAAAAAGACTAAACTCAAACTTTTAGAGATGAAAGCTAAAATGTCTGAGGTGAAAATACATCATATAGGATTAATGGCAATTCACACATTGTAGAAGATTAGTATTTAGTGAACTTGACATATCAATAGGGATTATTCAAAATGAAAAAAAATTTAAGGAGAAGAACAGTGAGTTGTGGAACAATTTCAAGTAGCCTAATGTATGGTTAGAGTCTCTGAAGGAGGAAGTGGGGGGAGAGTATACAGGATATTTGAAATAATGACCTAACAATTTTCAGACCTTATGGAAACTACTAACCCACAAATCCAAGAAATTCAATGAACTCCAAGCACAAGAGATATTAAGAAAACTATGAAGCCACATCATAGCCAGTATAAAATCATGAAAGCAATAAAAAAGAACAAAGGGACAAAGATGAATATAACAGAATTTTCATCAGAAACAATCTGAGAAGACAATGGAGAAACATCTTTAAAGCACTGAAAGGAAAAAACCTATCTAGAATTCTATACCCGGCAAAATGTCTTTCAAAGGCAAACATGAGAAAAAGTTGCTTTCAGACATTTAAAATCTGAAAGAATTCATCACTGGCACTACAAGAAATACTAAAGGATGTCTTCCAAGCAGAAAATGGTATTAAATGAAAATATGGGTTTACATGAGGGAATGATGAGCACTGGAAATGATAAACAACATGGGTTAATATATGAGTTTTAAAAATTATTTAAATCCTTTAAAAGATAATTGACTACTCATACAAACATAACAATGTTGTGGGGTTTATAACATAAAAGTTAAACATGGCAATAGCATAAAGGCCAGTAGGAAAAAAAAAGTATGAAAGTAGATAGTCCTAGTCTTGCACATTTTGGCATGCATGGGTTTCAGTTACATAACACCAGTTTCCTAACAACGTAGTTCAGATTTCTGTTAACACAGTATATTAAACTGTGAATACTTGCATAAAGTACAAACTTTATAGTTATCTCAGTCCACAAATCACTACATAAATAACATGTGGATTATGATGCATGATCAATCATGTCATTTGTGACAACCGCCCAGGGAACATTATTCCCAGTTCAGAGCTAAGGATATAGGGGTTTAGTTTTTCTATCCTGAGCTATACCCTGTTTTAAGACCAGTTCAGGCTGACTCTATATATCTCCTGATCTTTCCACAGTAAACCATTATGCTCATGGAACCCAACATGGGGCTTGAACTCATAACCCTGAGATTGAGAACTAAGCCAAGATCAAGAGTTGGGTGCTTAACTGACTGAGCCACCCAGGCACCTCCCCATTATTTGTAAATTCATCCATTCTTTTGCTGTGATTGGTTTATGGTGTTACATAGGGCTTCTTCTTTTTGTTTTGTTTTTAATACAATTGGACTTACATTAAATAAATGAAAATTTTAAATGTTTAATAGAAAACATGTCCTTTGGTATGAAGGATTTAGTAGTATATTCTAAATGCAAATATAGAAAACATTGTTTAAATGCTGAAGAGCTCCTGTTCCACTTTTTTTTTTTTAAGCTTTTATTTATTTATTTGAGAGAGAGGGAGCACAAGCAGGGGGAGTGGCAGAGGGAGAGGAAGAGGGAGAAGCAGGTTCCCTGCTGAGCAGGGAGGCTGACGCAGGGCTTGATTCCAGGACCCTAGGATCATGACCTGAGCTGAAGGCAGACGCTTAACCAACTGAGCCACCCAGGCACCCCTCTTACTCCATTTATAACTTCTAGTCTGGGAGTACTCTCTGTAAGACAGAGTGAAACAGATGGATAAAACTCCTTGACACTATTTAGTAACCTCAGATTTCTTAGTGGTTTAGTGCTGTCTCAGCTGTGCTGAGACATTATCTCCCAAAGTCATTATCTCTACATCCCAGTACACAGAAAGGAAAATTTAAACCATAGGGACAATGGTGCTTTAAACTCTTGGGAATTAAAACCCCACATCTCTAAATTATAATTATTGCCAAAGCTATTGAAATAGCATTCCCAGAACTTGGTAATGGTGTACTTAGAAAGAGAACCACAGTTCTGGGCTCTAGACATTCTCAGCACTTGTGGATATGGCTTTTCCTAATGAACTTTTCAAGTAAGTCATCAAGCTGTTAATCCTCTGCTTTAGATTTCAATTGACAATATCTTTCTATAATCTGTGGTAGTACACTTACAGACTTAAAGATTTATGTTAATAAATTATACCTTTTACTTGGTTCTACCAATATACTTTTTGTGATGTTGAAAGTGTTATTAGTGGTTCAAAAAAACCCACAAACCATATTTTTGAGGGGTAGGGAGTTGAAGTATAGCTTAGTTTCATTTATAACAAAATGTAGAGAAAAAAAAGTCCCAGGTAGAGGTACTCAACTAGTTATTTGAATACTTTGAATACAAGTATCTTTGAAGCAAAAATAAACATAAAATATTAACTGATTTTTTTGAATGTCTCAAGATTTATTTTTGTGAATTGTCACCTATACATGAAACAATATCTAATTTGTTATCGTTTCTGTTTCCATTACAGAGTTACTCTGTTTTCTTAGGCATACCCTTAGTATGTTCCTGCCTCAAAATTCTAATATGCAAAGAGGAATTGTGTTTATTATTCACTTAATTAGTACTTTCATTTGTACCTCACATTTCAGGGTCATTTTAAAAAACAACTAATTGCTAACACTTATTGAGCACTGACTTAAGAATTTAATATGCATTATTTCATTTAATTCAATACTCCTATGAAGAGGATATTGCTTTATTTTGTAGATAAGGAAATACATAAACATGAGGAAACATAAAGTGGTTAAACTTGTTCAAGACCACATAGCTAATAAGTGGGAGAGCCAGAATTCAAACCAGCCTGGCACAGTGTTCACATCTTAATTATTACTCTATTGTTTAGCATAAAAAATGTGAAATCCACATTGTATAGGTGAGGAAATTGAAACTCAAATGAGGTTAAGTGACTCAGTTAAGGCTATATTCATCGCTACAACCAGTACATAGTACATAATAGATGACTATCATTTATAGGAATTGCATGGGTTATTCTTTAGTTAAGATCCTTTTTGTTAAAATAATCATTTCCTAATTTAACTTTTGTGTAAATGTATATTCACACACACACACAAAACTGATTACAGATATATGCTTTGTGTTAGAAATATTAGAAATAACCACATAAATTATTGCCATGATTTGAGGTAGCATAACGTATGTATATGTAGCATAACCTATAAGCTTTATATAACCTTATACTAAAAGCTTATAGGTTATTACTTATATATAATTAATTTAAACCAAATTATAAAGGTATGCATTTAGAAGTTCCTTGTTAACTATATTTTTATTGTGTATTTCAACATTTGAGAGGAGTTTACTTTCCTACATATAATTATTACCTATTAGAATAATGAGCATAATTTTCAAAAGATCTTTGTAAGAATATTTGGATTATGTAAGTTTAGGCTTTTAAACTATATTTGCTTAACACACAAATACACACATACACAGATCACAAGAATATTTTTTACTTAAGTAATATATATGTAATATATATATACATATGTATATATGTTACATGCTTTATATACATATAAATTAGTATAAAATATATATAAATTATATATATGTGAAAATAGAAGTCCTGGAAATTTAAGCCAACTTAAAAAGAGGTGTTTTTCCAAACTTTAAAATTATCTAAACCAATTAATATTAGCACATTCATTATTCAGTTTTCCACTCAATTTCGTAAAATATGGCAAAATATATTAAAATATGCAAGTAACTGCACAAACACCATTTCATAAGAGTGGTAATTCTAGGGGCACCTACATGGCTCAGTCAGTTAAGCATCCGACTCTTGATTCCAGCTCAGGTCATGATCTCAGGGTTGTGAGATAGTGCCCTGTGATGGGCTCCATGCTGGGCGTGGAGCCTGCTTAAGATTCTCTCTCCCTCTCCTTCTTCTCACCCCCCCCATTAAAAAAAGAAAAAAGAAAAAGAATAGTAATGCTAACAGGAGGTGCATAAATGTAATTTTAGTAAGTGTGGTATATAAAAAGAGGTATAAAGACTGTTGATGTGTGGTATTTAATATTTTAGGTTTAAAGCTGGATCCTGCAAATAAGTTTGTTTCCAAAATAGTTGAAAATAGCTTAATGAAATTAAACAGTGTACCCCATTGTTTAAATTATTTTGTTATAATCCATTCTTGAGGTAAAAGTTGTCTTGTGGCCAGTCTGTCACTCTACATTTACCTCTGTGTCCCTCTTTCTGTTCCTGTGTGTCCCTCTCTGTTGACTTTATCTCTGGCCAAGCTCTCCACATAGTGAGAAAAATGAATCTTATTCCTTTTACCTTGCTTTTTCTCAACCTATACAAGGAGATAGGTAACCCCCGTCTCCCAGTTTCCATCTCGATTACTGAACAAGAGCTCTGATCATCCCTGCTTGGTTATACGCAACTTCTGGGGCAGGGAAGTGGCCCCTTAATTGACAATCATACCAGAATCATGTGACATACAAGAGGGGAAGCTTCCAAATGTTACTTATTTTTACAGACAAAAATGTAACATATTTTTATTTTCTTGAGTTGGCCCTTCCCCCCCCCCCAAAAAAAGTGTTGTTTATCATTATTCTAGACTTACTGTCCTCTGCTTTCTGAGACAGCAAGAAATAATACCAGGCAACTATATAATGTCACAAACACAGTTGCCTCTTTTTAAAATGTTAGATGTAGTCTTTATAGAGAGAGGACAGAAGACTGCTGATGAAAGGTGTGGATTACCTTAGGAAAGTATTACTGAAATCTCACATAACTCATAGGTTAGTTTCCAAGTTGGATATAGTCCACATCAAAGAGGATCAAATACTTTAAAGCAAGTTATGGGATAAAATATAGAAACCATTCTATGTGTCTGGAAAAGGTTCTAAAATTGATGAATTAAGCTTAAAATAACAGCAAACAGTCAATTCAAATGGTGTCATGTGACAGCCAGAAAATATTTTAACGTGCGCAGAAACTTCCCAATGAAGGTTCACATACAGAACCCCTACATTTCTCCTGCCGTGTCAACCTTAGTTATTCATCTATATCATTTTCATTTCTCTGATGCTGGGTTCTTGATCAGGCTTTTGCTTCTTCACTGTATCTGGAACTCTATATGCATGAGTCACAATACTACTTTGTGAACCAAGTTGAAAAAGTCAGTCTAAAAACTTAACCACAGAAATCTTGAATTTGAAACATATACAACATTCAGTTAAAAGAGGACAAACTAAATATTGTCCTACTTTTCTTCCTTAAAGAATCATGACAGAGGGAACATGTGAGCCAAAACTTTCAGAGACCTACAGATAAGATTTACCCAGTATTGAAAATGTTTCTCCAAATAGTTGAACATTATCTAATATTAGAATTTTAGATTGTTTACTAATTCGGTGATTTAAAATATAAAGTTTGAATTACTGTAGAGAGTAAAGAACTGCCTAATTAACCCACATAATCATGAGAGATAGTAAATGTTACTATTTTAAGCCCATAATTTTTAGGTGTGGGTTCTATGCATCGATAGATAAACAAAACAACTGATAAGTTCTTCTCATCCTTTACAAATTTTATTTCTCAGGGCCCCTGGGTGGCTCGGTCGGTTAAGCAGCTGCCTTCAGCTCAGGTCATGATCCCAGGGTCCTGGGATCAAGCCCCACATCGGGTTCCTTGCTGAGCGGGAAGCCTGCTTCTCCCCTGCCTGCCATTCCCCCTGCTTGTGCTTGCTCTTCCTCCCTCTGTTAAATAAATAAAATCTTAAAAAAAATTTTTTTTATTTCATTCATGTACTTTTATTTGTGATAACTAATATCTGTAAGAAAATTGTTGAATAATTGTGGTCATTGTGGGTATACTACCTTACTCCTGATTTTAATAAGGATGCTTCTAGTATTTTTTATATCTACATTTCAGGCTTTTAGAATGAGACACATTTCTTGCTAATTGTTTTTATTATTTTTATCTTATTATTTACCTTATTTTTTTGAAATCAAGGATTGCTGCTTTAAAAAAAAAGTATATTATCATCATTAATGAGGATGACTATGGTAGATACTGTTTGATATTGCCCAGTATCTATTCCCCCTTTCTTCATTTATTAATTCTCTAATTTTAGTAGAGACCATAAGCTCCCCAATACTAGGGTGCCACTATATCATTTCTAAACTGTTTATGCTCAGTCTATTCCAGGAAAGAGAAGTAAATTTTCATTTTGTTTAAATCACGTTATTTGAAGTATTTCTTATAGCCAGTGAATGTATTACCTAATTAAATGACCCTGTGAGTTTTCTCTCTTGTTTTTGTTTTCAATTTTATATTAAATATTAGGTTTCCTAATCTTAAATCATCCTTGTAGTACTAAAATAATCCAACCCCACTCCAGCCATATTCTTGTATAATTCTTGAAATGTGCTAATGGATTCTGCTTACTAATATTTTGTTTAGGATTTTTTTAAGTTTAGTTGACCACTAGTTTTCCTTTGTGTGTGTGAAATCTATTTTATACATTGTTATCAATGACATGGCCACCTTATAAAAAGAATTTAGAAATTTGTCTTTTTTACTAAATACTCTAGAATAATTTAAGTAATTTAGGTTTATCTTTTTCTTTTAGAATTAATTTCTGAAACCCTCACAGTCTGGTACTATGGAGAAATAGCTACTTGACAATTGTATTTATTTCATGGTAATTGGTCATTTAGATTTTCTTTCTTCTCAGGTAATTTTAGAAAAATTTATGAAAATATAATTGAATGTCTCAAGCAAAATAGTAATAAGGTGTTGTAAGGATTATGAGATATGTAGAATTAAAATATAATTCAACAATTATATATAGTATGAAAGGGAAGAAATCTAAGTATACCATTATAAATTTCTTACAACATACATAAGTGATACAAAGTTGTATAGGTAAAATGTGATGTTAAAGATATATATTGCAAAACCTAGAGGAACAACTAAAAGTAAAAGTAAAACTAAAAAGCCAATAGTGAAGGTAAATGAACATTAATAAAATATCCAATTAATCCAAAAGAAGGTAGCTAAAGGAGAAAAACAACAACAAAGAACAGATGATACAAATAGAGCACAATTAGCAAGATGTTCTCTTACCTGCTTCTATGGAAGCCACATCTTCCTCTTGTTCTCCGCCAAAGGTGAAGCAGTTCGTATGTTCTGTCTCTCCTTAGAGGACCTTGTGACTTTTTAAAATTCAGTTCAATAGGTTGCCTTGTAACTCAGCTCTCTGATAGATTCAAGAAAAGTGTTGTTGTTTTTAGGTTCAAGAAAAAGTTCAAGAAAAGTTAAACTCTTTTTCAGTAGTTTTTGTCCTTTAAATAGTGTATCCAAGTTATTTGGTATACAATACAGAATCATAACTAGTATATTTTAATTTTCAATTTTACCCTCTTGTTTATAAACTTTTTGGTCTCATTTAGTGATTTGGAGCCTGAATTCAATCTTACCTAGTATTAAAAGTTTGTCACCTCCCCGCTCCCAAAATTGTGACCTTCCCTTTTTGTTTACTTGTATTTATTTGGTAAAATTTTGCCCATGCTTCTATTTTCCCCTCTGAATCACTCTGTTGCAGGTATGTCTTTTGTATAGAGTTAGGTTTCACTTTCTCTTAATGGCTGAGGTAATTTATTTATATTTATTATTATGATAAATATATTTGGTGTCAGTTGTCATTTTATGTTTTGCTTTTTGTGTTTATACTTCTTTAAAAACCTTTCAAATGTAGCCTTTTTCCCTCCCATGCATCTATTTTTCATTTTTTTCTGATAATCAGGAGATTTATATTTTTGTTCTAATGAATACCTTTTTAATAAGAACATTACATCACAGGGTGCCTGGTGGCTAAGTCAATTAAGCATCTGCCTTTGACTCAGGTCATGATCCCAGGGTCCTGGGATCCAGACATGCGTCAGGCTCCCTGCTCCCTGGGGAGTCTGCTTCTTCCTCTCCCCCTGCTTGTGCTCTCTCTCTTGCTCGCTCACTCTCTCTCTCAAATAAATAAAATCTTTAAAAAAAATTACATCGCATAGGATTAATTTTTAATCCCCTATTTCTCCATTTTCTTTAAATATGCCTAAGCTATTACTATGAGCAATGATAGTTACTGTATTTCCTTTTTCTTTTCCACTCCTTCTCTATCATTTGCTTTCCCTTGATTATATTATTTTCATGTTATTAACATCTATATATGTAATTATATCTGTATTAATGATTGGTGAGCTTTTAGTAATGTGCTTTGATTTGTAGCCATTAAAGATGAGGAAATTGGAAATTCTCACCTTCCTCGCCCCTGCTCTTTCCATCTTCTGTTAGTTGCATTATTTCCATACTTCCAGGGCTTGTGACATTTATACTTTTGTAACTCCAATCCTACATTTTTTTCACTCTTCAATGTTAATAGAATAAATTCTCAACATTAATAGTCTTTTCCATTTTTTCTTATTCTAGTAGATTTCTTAAACTGGACCCATGGGAATATTTTCTGAGTTCTTATAGTTTTAGTATTTCCTGAGTTCTTGCATATTTCTTTATTTTTTAAATCATAATTTGGCTAGGTATAAAATTCTCAGTGTTATCCACCCCTCCTCTTTTCTTGAGGATGTTATATAAGTTCTCTGGAATCTCTAGTTTTGAATCTTTCTACAGAAAGGTCTGAGACCAGCTTGATCCCCCACCCATACCCCATACCTTAAAAGTATCTTGAGCTTATTGCCTGTTTACCCAAGTACTTGTTTCTTTTTCATTGAAATCCTATACATTTGCTAAGAAATGTTTTTATTGTTTATTATTTTGAATATATATTTCTTTGACAAGGTTTTCTTTCATTATGTAAACCCAAATCTTTTATTTCCATGAAATAAACTTAAACTATATTGTAAATTATTTGTTCTTTTTCATTTTTTTCTCCTTTTGGACTCCATGCAAATCTTGAGTCATTTTGCCTCTTCCATTTTACCTCTTTATTTCATTTTCCTTACTTTTCTTATATCTATCTTATATTTATTTTATTGTTTTCTGCAATTTTTTCTCCATTGTGCTTTATATTTGGGGGATGGTTTTGTTAATTTTTTCTTTCACTTTGTAGTTGCATTATAAATTTTCTCTTCCTATTGTCTTATGATCCCTTCCCTGAGCTTTAGAGTATCTTTTTCATGCTCTTTCTTCATAGGAGGTATTGCTTAATCGAGATTTTTAAATTTCTGTTGCTACAATAGATCATTTTTCTGCCCAATATTCTTTGTAAGATACTCTTGTTTCCTTCTTTCTCTTGCAGCATATTTGTGTGGCTCTAGTGATACTTCCTTTTTTTCATTACTCATCTTTAAAGCAAATAAATTTCTCCAGGATAAGTTATTTTCAGGAGTCTAGTGTATGGAAGAATTGATGGCTATATTCCAGGTTAGCTGGAATTATCTTGAGGACCCAGAATTTTGTATATCAGTTTGTCTCTCCTTAACTTTCCCAAGTCAAAAACAAAAAACAAAAAAACAAAACAAAACAAACAAAAACTTTCCCAAGTCAATGAGGATAGGCACTATGGAGGTCTATTAAAATGCCAAATCTCTGCACTCACTTTCTGCAAATACTTCCTGCAAATGCAGCCAATCTGCATGATGCCTTGTTTGTTGCCATCCTTTTGATTCCCAGAAGTAAGCTGGATCCAGAGTAGTTCCTGCCTCCAGCACATGGATCCTATTTCCATTGTTGTAAATAAGGCATTGGATTTTCCATCTCAGAGAGTGCCCCTTATTGTTAAGAAGTGTGTTTTGCTGAATCTTTCTTAAATTTCAAGCTACAGTATTCTTCCCCTTTGCTCTTTATGCATACATCCCTGTATTCTTATGGGAAACTCTACACTTAGTTTTAGTTTATTGTTTATACTTTTTTTGCAAAAAAAAAAAAGTTTGTGTTACTTTATCTCCTCTGTGCTGCTTTGAGTGATATCCAGGAAGAAAATGGGGAAATGTTGACTTTATAACATCATCTCATCTTTGATACCAGCTCATTTGAGATACTATATTCAACATTATAGAGGTTATCTCCCTTGGCTTGTTCCAATTTACAGAGATTATTAAAGCATATTTCAGGAAGTACAGTTTTCAAACACAACTCCAATTGAGTTGTTTGTTTTTGCCTGCTTAAGAAACTCTCAGTTACATCTCTGACTTCTAACTATTTAAGTCACAATTGTTTCCTTTAAGTTTTCTTACCCAGTCAAATGTTTAGACCTAAAATACATAATAAATGAATTTAGGTAACATGGTAGCTATGTTTAATGGTAACAAGTTATACTTCAACTATTTGGGGAAAAAACTCTCAGCAGGGTACAGATTTAAAGTATGTAGTTTTCTATATTTTACATCACTACTCCTAGAACTCTATTGCTCAACTCAGATTTTCATTCAACAGTTGAATGAACAATTAAAGCACTTGCTTTCTGGAACTGTTTGTAGGCTATAGTTTTATTTTGACTCCGTTGCCATCTTGAGCAACAGTGTTTCGACAATTATGTAAACAATTTATTGCATATTGTTCTATTTTATAAATTCAGTGGGAAGAACAAGAATGACATTGCTAAAATATGATTTTAGAGGAAGCATATAAAGTCCATTTTTTTTCAAAAAAATAAGCTCTCTATAACTTGCAACCAATAGAATGTGGCCTAATATGAGAGGAAATTGCAACATGATTTTACATGAAGCCAGCAGTAAGATTAGGATACAAAGTATATGTTAAGTCCTCTTCATTTTCACTCATGGGGTAAAATTTGGCTTTTAAGCTTTTTAGTGTGGGGATCTGATTCCTTTTTTTATGTAATGGTAGGGTAAAATGTTCTGGATCGGTTCTGTGTTGGTCTACTGTTATAAACTATTATAAACCCTCTATAATTCTGCATTATTTCATCTGTTAATCAGGAACAGCAATGATAACCATAATCTCTATTTTGTCTTCAAACATTGCAATCTTACCTTCCCTTATTTTACTTTCAACAGTCATTTACTTTTTATTTGTCTAATCTATTTATGCTGGACAGGAAGATGGATTTCAGAAATACCCCTGTGCGCCAAGATGTTGAGCAAAGCTTAATTCTGTCTTTGCCTCTTTCAGTGTTCATCAGCGCAAATTTTTTTTTTAAGATTTTATGTATTTGACAGAGAGAGAGCACAAGTAGGCACAGCGGCAGGCAGAGCGAGAGGGAGAAGCAGGCTCTCCGCTGAGCAAGGAGCCCAATGCGGGGCTTGATCCCAGAACCCTGGGATCCTGACCTGAGTGGAAAGCAGCTGCTTAACCGACTGAGCCACCCAGGCGCCCCTCATCAGTGCAAATTTTATATTGTAAGATGCTGATTACGTCTGGTATAGGTCCCAGATAAGTGCTTTACAAAAAAAAATGTAAAGGAAGTGCACCACATTTAAGAATCATCGTCCTAAACTTTAGCCTCTGATTTGAATTAGTTAACCTTTTCAAAAGAGTTTCTGCTACCACAGAAGCATCTCATTCTTAAGAGGTAAATGAGCTCACTACTTCTTTCTTCAAATTAGAGGGTGGGAATTAGAGTGGCAAAAGAACTAAGGCTAATACCATTAAATAAGCAATTGAAAACAGTTGATTTTTCTAACCAGGGAGTAAAGAATCTCTTCCTTCTGACATCTCAAGTCACAGAAGGCTTGCCTTTGAAAAACTCCTTTGTATCAGAAAGATCTTTTTTTACAATCCTTTTCAGGATTGTGGATTGTGGTTGGGGGCTGGGGTGGCATTGGAGGGGGGATAGTGGGGAACCTTTGGAAGTAGAACTGGTGGAGAATTTAAAAGCCTCAGGGACAATGTAAAAGAAGGGAAAAGATTTAAGGACTTCAAGTGAAATAGACACTTCCTTTCCTGACAGATCTTAAATGGCTGGATTGAAAACAATCTTCAGACTATAAATTTTATCTATTGGAAATAATTTTATGACCTGCAGTTGTAACCATTTCAGTTGATTGTCATGACTCTTGGGCAATTTTTTATTATATTTAGTAATTTAATTTTTCTATTAGAGGACATGATAATTACACATTTTGAAAAAGCAATTATGTATATTTCTATTTTGGATAGAATATGAAGTAAAAACTACATATGTGAAAAAACTACATTCACTAATGGGGTTATGGCTACTTGATCTTCTCCCAATATTTTTAATTAAGAGAACTGTATCAAAAATAGCAAATGTTAAAAAAAATGGCAAATGTTTTGTTTGGTGGAATTGTAGGATAATCAACAACAACAAAAAAAAACCATAATTCAAAATAGGTTCCTCTTAATTTTATAACTGAGGCAGGAAATATTCTAAGCTACTGGCTGCTCATTGGAATCACCTGTGAAGCATTTAAATGAATACCAGTGTCCATCTCGGGATATCACCTAAGCATCGGTATTTTTTAAAAGCTCCTCAGGCCATTTTAATCAGCATGCAGTATTCAGTACCACTATCCTCAAACAGACTCATCCCAATATTTATTAAGCTCAGTATTGCTGAAATTGAGATAGGAATTCAAATATATTAAGTCTTACTTGCTGCACTTAAGGAGTTTACATTGCACTGAGAAGAATTACTTAAAATAAAACACAAAAAATT